TCTCCTCCCCTGTCCCTCACCTTTTCTCTCGCAGTCTCTCTGTCTCGGTACCTCTTTATCTGTCCCCGTTTCTATCACTCGTAAGCGCAGCAGTGCAACTGAGCACCAGGGGTCCTGATCGAGATCGCCTGATCCGCGAGCTCGAGGAAGTGCGCAGGGCGCCCAGTACTGGAGAGCATCTGGCTCGAGGCTTGTTCCTGTTGTGATACTTATATTCGTCGGGTTACGGTTATGACTTCTGACTTGTGACTGGTGGTGGTCATCAGTATGGGGAGATGGCCGCAAGTGAGTTCCCAGACTGCTGCACTGTTCCTGCCCCTGCCAAAAAATTGTATATAGACGCACACACACGCACAGTGGTTTTGTGGAAGTGCCGCGTAGCCCATGTCCGAATGTGATCGGAGGACCGAGCCTTTGTACAAGCAGTTCTACACACGGAACATCTCGGAACCGTTCTCCACTTCCTCGGCGAGACAGGTGACGAGCTCCTGGATCGCCTGGAGGCCGCCAAATCGGAGACATCAGAGGTTGACCAAATGTGTCAGGATTCTTTTTCTTGCTGCTAGCGGGGTCGGGTGCTGCTGCCGTTGGGCCTCGGTGCCGTGCCTACCCTGACAAAGGTTCTTGCGGCAAGTAGCTGGCTCTTCTTGCGTTGCCCTGAACTTGTCGGTGACGGGAGACCGGAACCCCAAGCTTGTTTCGCCCTTGGTGCTGTCTGCTTGCTCCCGTTATGTGCCCCTTATCGTGGAGGGAGGAGGGAACCGGTCTAGCAGTGACGCCGAGTCCTGCCATGTTTCGGCAATCGGAGTCTGCGGAGGCTGGAGCCGGGCCTGGGCTCCCGGGGCTCCCTGGGTCTGTGCTCAGAGATGCGGCCGGGGCCGAAAACCTCAGGGCTCTTGGAGGTCAGGGCTGGGTGTTACGTGGTGTTATGCCCCGATCTCACGTTGATGGCGGGTCTTCAAGATTCAAAAGTCCATGCACACTGCTCTTGTGCAGACCAAACCTCAAGGTCAAGTCCATTCGCGAGCGATCCTTGGCTCCCGAGCTCTTCTCTCAGCTGGAGATTGAACTTGCAACTTTGTGGGCTCGCAACCCACTGCGATGTTGTAACAGTCGCATGCTTGCAACTGTACCACTTCCGAGGTTTTGGGGCCAATTGCTTTGCGAGATTCGCATTGACGAAGGCCTTTTGAGATGTTCCCCTCCTGGACTCCTTGAGTCGCATGTCACATGTTGAACATGAAGAAACACAGATTCTCCAGACCTCAGAGTGGCTGCAAGCAAATCACGTGATTTGTGGTTGAACAACTCGTGGCGTCCCACCAGTCAGAACAGAGTTTGCGTATCTAACCCAAAAGTCCCGAATGTCTGAATTCAACTCCCGAAGTGTATACCTTCAACTCTCTATAGACGTCAGTGGCTGCCGTGCATTTGGCAATGTCACGACCGTGGGGGTGGTCCATGGAGATCGCTGCAGCTCACGTGATGCTTATGTTGGCGATCGTCGAGAATAGCCGTTCGCCTGGACCCTGACCCTACAATTAAGGGTCGAGGCTCGAGGATGCATGGAGTAATTCGGGGAAAAATAAATATCATGTAATCTTACTACGAGGTGTGGCTCGGCTGTCTGCCGCTGCCTAGTCCCTACATGGTGGCAGGACCAGATGAAGAACACGTTTCGTGCTGAAGCTGAGATGTAGTTGCTTGCGAATCGTGGGTGAAGGTGTGCTCAGCGTGTCAGAAGTGACCATGGTGCTTCTGACCTGGCTCCGTCGCGGCCTTATCAACGGCGACAAGCCCGATGCTCGATCAAATAGTTCTTAGTTCTGTTTCATAGAACTTACAGCAGTACAACTCTTCCGAGCATCATCGTAGTCTTTCAGGGTCAGTTCCTTATCTGTGACGAGAAGCTGTTTCTTCAAGATGCTGATGATGAACCATGTTCACTGTAGACTGCTACAGGGCACTTAGTCGGGGGCTTGAGCCATAAATTTTGCCATGAACCATGTTCACCATCTCCCCCTTCATGGCGACCATGTTCGCCGCCGTCACCAAACATCATCATCATCAGCATCATCGTAATCACCATCGTCATCGTCATTTGCACAGCTGTTTTATCATGCAGCTGGCTTCACCGCCTTGTTATCAGTGCTTGTATTCTCTGTAGTAGTACCGCTGCTACAGTGACGACGAGCAAAATTAGTACTAGTTGCTAGTTACTACTACTACTACTACTACTACTACTACTACTACTACTACGACTTCGACTTCGACTACGACTACGACTACTGCTACTACTACTACTACTACTACTACTACTACGACTGCCACTGCCACTACCACTACCACTACCACTACCACTACCACTACCACTACGACGACGACGACGACTACTACTACTACTACTACTACTGCTACTCCTACTGCTACGGCTACTGCTACTGCTACTACTACTGCTACTGCTACTGCTACTGCTACTACGACGACGACGACGACTACTACTACTGCTACTATTACTACTGCAAGTGGGTGACAAAACTTCCTGCTGCAGCTGCTGCTGCTGCTGCTACGACAACAACAACTACTACTACACCTGCTCCTCTCCTCCTCCTCTTCCTCCTCCTCGTCCTCGTCCTGATTGTCCTCCGCCTCCTCGTCGTCCTCGTCGTCGCAGTCCTCCTCCTCTTCTACTGATGGTACCAGCTTGCCAGTAGCTTGCCGCCGTTGCCGCAACAGCGTCTCCCAAGCATTACTATTACTGCATCTGTGAGTAGGACCACTGCTATAGGACGATGGCAGCGATGGTGGTTAGCTTGCAAAGTAGCCACTGGCAGCAGCTAGCCGTCATAAGTTCTGCTGTGGTTTGGCTTCGAGCGATGATGCATGTGCTGCGATGTCATGACGGCAGTTCTTCCCGCTGGAACTTCCCTGTGTGTTCGCAGTCTTTCTCATGCCGTGGGTCACAACCTTCAAGCTTCGATCCGAGGCGAGGCAGCCGGTTGGCAGCCAATCGAGTCCTCGAGAACTGTCTCAGGTTGCGTGGAAGTCTGATGGGTAAAGGGGTAAAGAGGTGTGGGGCATTGGGGTTCTGGAAGGTCCGAAGTCGCAGCAGTGGAAGGTTCACGATGCCAACCCTAAATTCAGTGTGACCCGCTGTGCCGAGTGTGATCAGCCGACTCGTGTGTCGGCTCCCAGGGTTTAGGGATTCGGTATCGCCATGTGTGTCAAGGAAGAGCTCTGAGCTCCATGTCTTAAAATGAGGTCAGCACTCGTTCTCGCAAGATGTGAAAGTTGTTGAACAAAAAGCAATCCAAATGATCGAGGGCTGATGTGTTGCAGCGACACTCGACGAAAAGAAACATTGGGGAAGCACAGCATTCGCTGCGGAGTGCACCATACCCTGCTGCCGGAACAGCGGCCCAGGCTGGGAAACCAAGGTCCGTGAATTGTCGGTCGAAGTTGGAGGTGTACCAGACCTTTCGCATCCTTTTGCCGTGTCTAGAAGTTGACCGTCCAGTCAACCGCTAGGATTGCGTATCTGTGCTGGCATATCCCTGCACCTCTTTGGTTATGCAAAGGAGTTCGTGCCTGAATCATGGTGGATGTGCTGCCAAAAAGCGATGTGGCTGGTCAGCAGACAGGGACTGGTGGGTGGTAATTGTGCTTTGGGTATCTTCGAATTCCAAGACATAGAATACTCATGGAATCCAGCGCTCAAGTCGCGAATTTGATGGGCGATGCCCGGTCCTCCATCGCTCAAGATGTGCAGGGAAAAACTAGGCTGTGCGTCGTTTGCCCAGTGCTGAGAGGTCAGAGTCGAGCAGGGCGAGGCCCTGCTCAGAGCTGTCAAGGCCGCAACCGCCTCTAGACTCTGTAGGCTGGACCTCTGCTCACCTGTCTTCAGGAAGATCGGAAATCCGAGCTTGATGTGCTGATAGAGGAGGGAGCCGACCCAACGTGGCTGAGCTGCGTTGGAGCCCGTGGTCTGCAGCTTCGAATGCTTCGTGATGCACTGCAGGTACTGTGGGAAGCGCGGTCAAACCGCACTCCATGATGCTGCAGTATTGGGCAGGCAGCCGCGGCAGCTCAAGATGGCAGCAACTTCGAGTGAGCAATTTGCGGATCGCTTGCAGGGCCTACTGCCTCATGGAGCTCCTTCAAGTCGCCCCTGGCCTGGTGGCGCTGCAAGACAACGCTGGTCATCCACTCATCCACCCGACCCTCTGTCGTGAAGTCGCCGTGAAGTCACGTGATGCTGAGGCCAAACGGCAATTCACTGTGCAGCAGCTGAAGGACCCGCCGTGCCAGCTATGCGGGCATTGAAGACTTCAGCTATGACAATGGCAGTGCTCGCAGAGCTTGCCATTGTCATTTTTTCTGGCACCGGGAATCTTGACCATGAACTGAGGACACCACAGCTGCCTGAACGAGCTGCTGGGGATCGGCCGAGTGGCGCGCCAGGTGCAGCAGCTCGCTACATGCGAAACGCGTCGCATGCAACCGTGTGAGGGTATCGAAGGAATAGCGTGAGTGAGAGATGTTTGTGGAAGGCATACGACAGCAGTGCCGATTCAGTTGCAGCATCCGTTTCCACATTTCGCGTAGGACTGCGTAGGAGCTTTATATGTACGTATGAACGGCGCATGATCTTTGAGTTAAGAAGCCCTGCAGGTACCGCTTGAAGTCGTCACAGCGAAGACCTTCAAGTACGGGTGGACCGCACTGCATTATGCGGCCCACAATGGTCACGCAGCTGGGCCAGATGAGGGGGGTTGATGTGACAAGCGACGACAAGTTAAGAAGCTTTTCTTTTTATGTCGCCAGCTTTCTGTTTGATTCTCGGCCATGCCCCCTTCTTTCCGAGCAGTTCGCCAAGCTTTCTGACAGGCCCGTTGCTGCCTATGGGTGCATAGCGAGAACCCGAGGCAGAGTGCTGCCGTGCCCTCATGGTGGCCACTGGCCAAGCCCCAGAGCTACTTGGGCTGCACTTGCCACTAAGAGCAGCATCAAGCATGCCAGCAAGCAGTTCTCGGGCACGTTGTCGAAAAAGCAACTAGGTGGCCCTGTCAAACCTTTTGGATCTGTGGACACCCGAACACCGTGGCGAGCTTTTCGTTGCCAAAGCTGTCAGAACCATCGACCTTAATTCTTTGCCAAAGCTGTCAGAACCATCGACCTTAATTCGGCATCATGTCTCCTAGGCTCGTGGGCGCCCTGAACCTCACCGGAAGGACAGCCCTGCACCTGGCAGCCCAGCGGGGCCACGCCAAGTGTCTGGAGGTGCTGCACGGACCTGAGCCTCTGGCATACGGCTCGTTGCTTTGGGTTCGGGCCGAGGGCATCCTTTCAACTACCTTTGTGCTTTAATGCTACTGTCAGAGTGATATGAATGTTAATCGTTACTGTTGTTCATGAATTTCGCTATCATCGTAATGATGAAAGCTTTTGTTATATAGCTTGTTGTCAGTATTGAAAAATCGTATCACGACGAGTATGACTATCCACTGTTATTGCTTTTGTTGCTGTTGCTACTACCATGTGGCGGGTTTTCCAGATGGGTGGCGAAATTTCAGCGGCGACAGCAACAACAAGCTACTAGGGCTACTACTACTAGTACTACTACTACTACTACTACTACTACTGCTACAACTACTGCTACTGCTACTGCTACTTGCTACTGCTACTGCTACTGCTACTGCTACTGCTACTGCTACTGCTACTGCTACTGCTACTACTACTACTGCTGCTGCTGCTGCTGCTGCTGCTGCTACTGCCACCGCCACTGCCACTAGCACTGGC